GGTATTTCTTTTCACTCTTTACCCATAGGACTTATTGAAACATAAGAAAATAATGTGAACTAAATGGAACATAAGTAGATGAAAAGGGTATTTTGATCTTCTTATCTCAAATTAAACCTAATAAAATAGTTAAAAAGAATATGATTTTGATGGAATAAAACTCTTAAAAAATAAATTTATCAAAAAAACTCTCAAAATTATAACTCTTAGGCTTATTTTGGGAAGATGGTAAAAAGTGACTTTTTGGCTTTTAAGCAAGCTTTTGGCTTTTTTAGACAAATGATTTGGGAAGTTGGTAAAAAGTGACTTTTGACTTTTTTCATTAATATTTGTTTATAATGTTAAATCATAATGAAATGACCAAAGTATCCCTAGCCAATTGAAAAATTACACATTTTTACCCTTTTATTTTCCATCTATGGAGGGTAATTTCGTAATTTTTCTTTTGACTTATAACCAACATCCCAAATCAATTTACGGCAAAAAAAAGTCACTTTTTACGTACACTTATAACCAACATCCCAAAATGGAGTCAAGAGCCTCTCCTTGCAAGGCCGTCCTTGCGTCCGGCCTTGCAGGCCTTCGGGTCTACTTTTAGGTCCAATTTTGATAATCTGAATCGTTCATATTTTATGATTTATTTAGTATATCATACCTGTAAAAAATCAAGTTGATCGGATATCAGAAAGCATGTGTTCGAAAAATTGAACTAAACACTATTTTTGAAAGAATTTAATAAATAGTTTTCCAAACACATACTTTTTGATATCCGATCAACTTGATTTTTTACAGGTATGATATACTAAATAAATCATAAAATATGAACGGTTCGGATTATCAAAATTGGGCCTAAAAATAGACCCGAAGGCCTGCAAGGACGGGCACAAACACGAGAGCTGCAAGGAGAGGATCCTCCCTCCCCAAAATGAGCCTTAATCTTTATCCTCTTCGTTCAAAAAAAATCTTTATCCTCTTGAAAACGTCAATGCTTATCTTGAGTGTGACGTGACTATTTTCCGTCTTTGTAGGCAAATTATACTTTATTTGCTGGCAAGTGACCTAACATCTTGACAAAAGGTGGATGCAGATAAATTGAACACGGCATGTTTGAAGAAGACTTTGGCACAACAATTTATTGTACACAAATTCAAGCTTAATAAATAGTTTATTGGCTTAAAATAAAGGGTTTAATTCCTCTTAAATTAAGAAAAATTATTTAGATTTGTAAGTCAAATCACGAATCTCGTTTTAATAATATAAATTATTTATTTTATTAAATTTTTCATGTACATAATCAACGGAAAAAATTAAGTTAAACCAATAATTAAAAACATTTTATTTTATTACATTTATTTTCAAAAACTAACTCGCCTATATTTAAAAAAACAAGGGGCAAAGAACTTACTCTTATATTCTCATTTCAATTCATTTACAACTATTTAAGCATGTCTAAAAATTATCATATTTAAAATTTTTATTGTGAATTTTTTTTAAAAAAATAATATAAATCAATAAATAAAGAGGTCATCTTCAGCCATGGAAACAAGGTCAAGCCAGACAACATTATTCGCACATTCATAAGCATATCCGTTTGCATCAACCATCTCTTAATATCAAAAACTGTATAGTAAACAAGCAAAAGATGATAAGGGTTTTATGTTTATGAAATAACAATTAAGAAATATGAATGATGCCCTATTTAAGTTAGAGATGGCAATGAATAACTTATCTTGTGAGTATTTATGGAGACCCAATTCAAATACATGGATTTTTCTCTTTTTTCTTGTCCGTCAGGATAGGTAATATTCTTTAAATCTCCACTGGGAATAGGGTGAAGATGAGTATCCACTAATTTCCCCTTGTGTTTTTTTTTTTTAAGGTACATCGGAAAATAATTTCTCCATATGTTTAGGGATGACAATAGGGGTTAATGGAGTGGATATTAATTCTCGTCTCCATTCCCCTATAATTATTTTTCCCCATTCTGCATTCCCCATAAATACTACCCTCCCCATCTCCTAATGGGTTTGGATTTTTCCCAACCTAACTTGACTTTCTTTCTTTTTTTCTTGTTTTTTTTAAGATTTAAAACCAAAGCTAAATATACATTCAATCTTATTTTATTTTATTTTATTTGGCTCAACAATAAAATCAAATACACATTAATTAACATTGTCACATTATTCTTGTCAAATTTTATATATATTTAGAATTTTTCTAAATATTGTTATTTCTAATTTGGCTTTCTTTCTTTTTTTCTTGTTTTTTTTTAAGATTTAAAACCAAAGTTAAATATACATTCAATCTTATTTTATTTTATTTTATTTGGCTCAACAATAAAATCAAATACACATTAATTAACATTGTCACATTATTCTTGTCAAATTTTATATATATTTAGAATTTTTCTAAATATTGTTATTTCTAATTTGGTCGCCTCTAATTTATCTTCGTAATTGATTCTAGTCATCTTTATTCTGTTTAACCTTATCATCTCTTTTCCACTCTGTCAGTAGTCACGCACCTTTCGTCCCGCATCATGTGTAAGTCCTTAGGTTTAGGCAATTAACGGAAATAAGGATTCTTGAAAAGGGTATGAGTGAACACATTGTATGTGAAAATATGGTAAGTTAACCCAGAATTAAGATTTCTGACAATCTTTTATGAATTTAGAAATATGAGTCGATTATTCAGAAGCAACTCTTCAGTTAGCTCTAAATCTACAACATTAGCTCCTATACTTGATAACAATTTACTTATGAACGAAGAAGAACATTAATTTCAAGATGTTAAAATTGATTTAAGTTAGAATATCCCTAAAGTAAAGATTAAAGAAATCTACAAAACTAGTTTTTTACGATCAACCTTTAATGTAGATTTACAAGTCAAAAATGTTGAATAAGTTTATACTTTAACTAAAATTAGAGAAACTTACCAGTTATTATCCAAACAGTCAATTAAAAAATATATCAAAGATGGTCATAACTCTATTCATCTAAGATTAATTCAAGTTAGAATCAAACCATTAACTCAACAAGGTAAAAATACTTCTGTTCTTTTATACTTAAGAGATGCACGATTTATTAATTATCATGATAGCCTAATGGGTATGATGGAATCAGGCCTTCATAAAGGACCTGTTTACTTTAATTATTTTCCCGATTTTACTTTAGATCTTAGAGATCCTCATATATTAAAAACATTAACATTAAATATTCAATTTTCTGGCTCATTCACTAATATGTTAGCTAATGTTCATAATATTGCTTTGATTTATCGCATTTATTATAAATGTGTTAAAACCAATCTCAATGGTCAAGATTTAAATAAAAGTCCAAAAAATAAAACATTAGGTAGTACACATGAAACTATTATTTCAGTTCCGAAAATGATTTGTTGGAACGATATTGCTTTTCCTGAAGACTGGGTTACAGTTAATGAAAATTAGTCCCAAAATTAACAATCTTCTACTAGTCAAGATATTCAAACTATTCAACAATTTAATGATGGTTTAGTTCATATACGCTTTAAT